ATTTGTTTGGAGAGTGCAGTCCTAACTTCCGTGGTATGGGCGAAATCACAGAGTTGTAGATAGCGGAAGAAGTCTCTGGTCGTTAGGGGTGCTGGGTCTTAAGGTAGTCGTATGTTATTAACTGTTTGTGCATATTTTATTTTAAGTATCCATGGAGACCACAACATTATATATCCTTAGACGGGGATTGTTCCATCCATGCGGAATACAGCAAAGCTCTAAGTTAGCTAAAAAAAATGTTAGTGGAACTGACACCAAATTATCTACCACACATATACTGTATATACTGTACTGCACTATTATTTTGTCTTTATCTTTGAGGTCAATTGTGTATAACCCTTTGAAGACCTGTGTACGTATAATACACAGTACATATATTTTGGGCCCAGTTTACTCTGTTTTCTTTTATGTTTTATACACTTACAAGGTCTGGGAATCCTTAAATTGTTTATTGCTGCCTGCATTTATCTTTTGTTTAATACTATAGTGAACACTTATTATTTCCAATTACAATACATAGAAATAAGGAGAATTGGGGCACACCCAGAACAAGCATTCCTCAGCATTTCCGGAGGGGACCACAGTCAAATTAAACTGTTTGCAGTGTTCTGTTACTGTAATGCAAAGTGTTTTTTTTTTTTTTTACTATTAATAAATGCTAGAATGCATAATCTGTTGTTATAATATGCATTAACATATTTGTGGTTCATGTTCCTCTTCAGTTAATAAACTTTTAAAAAAAGCTTTTTTATTAAAAGTAAAAAACTACTGGAATTTAAAGTCAGATTTGCTTCAGTTGCTTTCTTTTGAGCAATGGGAATAGTTATGCTGCTGTGAGGCTACTGTGCCTGACAATTCTCGGAAGAGTTTCATGGTCAGATTTGTATACTCTGGTGTTATTGTGCTCATGAACACTTTGTTTCAATAAAAAAGAGAAGAGAGATTAAACAGAGAATATAACAGCAAGGGGAGGGGAGTGATAGCTCAAAGGGTGAAGGATGGAAGATAGACAAATGGGTAGGTGTTAATCAGTGCTGACGGAAGGACAAGGCTATAGCACAGAATTAAAATCAGTGTTGAGAGATATGAAGAGAGATGGAAGACGCTAGTGATGAGAGTGAATGTAGAAGTAGAAAGTATGACAGATGCCCAAAGTAGAAATGATATATACACATTTGTCTCATTCAATATATCTATATATATATAGATATATATGTATATATTTGTTTTAATTTTATTTTTGCAAACCGTTTAGCACACACATTGTGCAAATGTGTATGACTATAAGTTTTTTCTTGTTGTCCTAAAGCAGTGATGACAAGTTTGTCCATGTGTACCACATTCCCTATAAAGAATGTATGCTTCATTCTGGCTGATATTTCTCTGGGAGACATAATGCATAAAATGTATGTCAGGTTTGGTCCCAAACTAGTTGCCTTGTTTCACTGAGATGATCTCACCTGGTTACTAAGAGATCGGAAACACCTGTACATAACTATATTACATTGTGCAGTTCAGCCAGGTTTTTGGAATGCCTTATTTGCCCTTCATAAAACTTGAATTCCTGCAATACTCTGCTCCTCCTCTGAAGAGCAAAGCTAGAATCTGATATGAGATAAACAGAAAAGTATAAATAATCCCTGATTAAACCTAAATTTTGTAATTCATTTTGAGTGACAAGCCAAATCTATACTAGATTCCATACAGATGTTTAAACTGCAATTGGATAAATACTTGCAAAAACATAACATACAGGGATATAATCTCTAATTAGTGGGGTAATAGCTGCTTGATCTAACGAGACATCTGACTGCTATTTTGGGGTCAAGAAGGAATGTTTTCCTAGTTTGTTGCAAAATTGGAAGCGCTTCAGACTAGGGTTTTTTGCCTTCTTTTGGATCAACAGCAAAAACATATGTGAGGAAGGCTGAACGTGATGGACGCAAGTCTCTTTTCAGCCATATATATACACACCAATAGACCACCCAGGTGCAGCAGTGTACAATTGGAAATAAAGGTAATTACTTCCCTTGTGTTCTAGGTAGTAACAAAAGGATTCCTCAAATCCTTGGATGCAAATACAGAATACAAGGTACACCTAAAGAAACAAAAACAGAGAACACTCATAGGGAAACACCATTTAGCAGGAATGCCCCGACTAGTAATATTGCACTCACAGAGTATGCGAATAATTTGAGCCCATCAAAGTTTCTTTAAGGTTCTGTAGTTAAGGGTTCTGTAGTTAAGGGTCTAAGTTCCGTCCGTTGCGTCATCGGTCTACGGCTGGAATGCTTAGATTCTATCGAGTGGCATGAGGGATATATGTGGGCATCTTTAGACGTAGGATCCTTATATACGGTTATTGATCACCAACTCGGCTTACGAGCTGTTAAGAGCAATTTGGAAAAGTATACAACTTTGAGTCAGGGATTTGTAGAGATCCTACTCGAAGCAATTCAATTCATATTAACCCACAACTTCTTCATGTTCAATGATGAGTACTTCCTGCAAATCAAGGGCAACGCCATGGGCACCAGGTTTGCCCCAAGTTATGCTAACATCTTTATGGATTTTTGGGAACGCCAGTTCATTTGGGAATATAATCCATATGGGGCAGACCTGGTGCTCTGGCGTCGTTATAATGACGACATCCTTGTAATATGGAAGGGGTTTGAAGAACAACTACTAGACTTCTTACGGTATCTTAATGATAATACTTTTTCTCTTACTTTTACTCCAGTGTATAGATCCACTTCCATAGATTTCCTGGATTTGACGATTTTTGTTCAAGAAGGCCAAATTCATACCCAAACATATTTTAAACCTACAGACACCAACAGTTTTATTGAATCTAAAAGTGGACACCATCCTAGATGGTTGTCGGGAGTTCCTAGAAGCCAGTATACTCGACTTAGAAGAAATTGTTCTAATAAAGACACTTATATAGAACAAGCTGCTATTTTAACAAGTTAATTCATTGAGAAGGGTTATTAGAAAGAACTATTAGATGCTGAAGTGGAAAGAATTGGGGATATCAAAAGAGGAGATCTTTTGGTGGACAAAGTTAAATATACTAACAATTCCAATAAATCATTTGAGTTTTCATTCAACACCTAGTACAACTCTAAAACTTTTGCTATAAATAAAAAAAATTAAAAACATTGCAATGTACTCAAATTTGATGAGTATATAGGCCCTTAACTCCCAGAAAACCCAAGAATTATTTATAGAAAAGGGATATATTTCTCCTCATATCTGGCACACAGTCTCTTTCAGAGTAATACTATAGATAAACCCAAAAGCAATAGAGGATTTCACACTTGCGGGACATGTAAAGCCTGTAGGGGATAACCGTCCCATACATATTCATTCTCAAGTTTTATTACTAAAGAGACCTTCCAAATTCAGGGACAAATTACCTGCTCCTCCTCACATGTTGTGTACCTCCTCTCATGTGGATGTGGTGCACAATATGTGGGGAGAATGGGTAGGAAGGCCAAGTCCTTTTTAGAGCATAAGAACAACATCAAGAAGGGTATAAAAAAATCATTCCGTCCCAGTTCATTGCAACCAGTGTCCGCAATTTAAAATTCATAATTTCTCCTGGGTGATTATCGAACAAGTATCACTTGGTGTGAGGGGTGGAGATATTGTTATGAAGCTCAGGCAAAGGGAGGGATTCTGGATCCATAATCTGAAAACCCTTCAACCATTAGGGTTGAACGTGGATTTTGATTTAATTTGTTTTCTTTAATTTTTATAGATTTTTTTTTTTTAATGGTTTATGGATTCCAGCATCGTCGCCTTTTATGAGAACGATCTATAAGTGGAACACACTGTCCTTCATATGTTTTCATATGGAACACAGACTATTTATTATACATTTATTATTCATTTGTTCACTTACTATTAGTTAAACTTTAAACACAGCATATATATATATCTGGTAATAATACTACTGAAGTATGTTTGAGAGTATTGTGTATATTGTGTATAACAATATTTAATTACATTGGGAGTATTGTATCATTTTGGGTTTTGATACATATATATCTTTTTTCCATCTTTTCATCCGCTCTTTGCTGGCATGTGAAGCCGACCGAGTGGAACGCATATGCGTTCCAGCCGTAGACCGATGACATGACGGAAAGGAGGGTCGTTTCCTGAACGGTGGAACGCATGTGCGTTCCATGAAGGCTCAGCTGAAGTCCATATATGGGCTGGAACAGTTGATCTTGAACGCACCGATTGGAGGATTAGACGCTGAATACGGCGAGAGGGACATTTAAAAAGAAACTGAGGATTGTTTTTACTTGATTGTCATATTTGTTTTTATTGATTTTTTCCTGATGAAGTCTACCTTATAGACGAAATGCGTTGAGCTGCTTTTTAACTATAGCCTGGCATTTCTGTTACCTGTTTCATTTACCATTCTGGTTAGAGGGATGCAGATATCTGATGGGCATTTTTACTCTTCACTTCTTGTAAGTGTATCGAATTAAAGCGTGTCTTTTTATACTATATACATTGCCACACTATCTCCAGTTCTTTTTTCTTTGCATATACCCTTGGGAACTTAGACCCTTAACTACAGAACCTTAAAGAAACTTTGATGGGCTCGAATTATTCGCATACTCTGTGAGTGCAATATTACTAGTAGGGGCATTCCTGCTAAATAGTGTTTCCATATGAGTGTTCTCTGTTTTTGTTTCTTTAGGTGTATCTTGTATTCTCTTTTCAGCAATGTAACTATGTAATTTCTATCTTCCTTACCAAGACCTCTCTAGGAACAGAAAGACTTTTCTAGTACAATGTGCATGTAAATCTGTTTGTAACATAGTAATACCACAGTACAGTATCTATATACAAACACGTGGAATAGGTGTAAACCACCCTGAAAAAGTGTACCTCACACACTCCAAAATTGAGCCAAAACAAAAATTATACACCCCAAGAGGGAAGTTTAAAGAAGTGGGTTATAAAATATACAAGGATAAAAGAGAAATACAACCTGAGAATCAGGATGGATGTAGAGGTAACACAAAAATAAAAAATTATATATTACCTCTACATCCATCCTGATCCTCTTTTATCCTTGTGTATTTTATGACCCCCTTCTTTATACTTCCCCCTTGGGGTGTATAATTTTTTTGTTGGCTCTGTTTGTAACATAGTTTGTATTTGGATAAACTGTGACTATTTTCGTTTGTCATGTTTTTTTTTAAGTTTTGCTTTTGTCTGGTAAAATCAAATCTTTTGAAGAATATTCAAAATAGATTTCTGAGGCACTGTGTTTTGTAAGTTGGTGGGTAACCTAAGGCACCCTGTTTATTAATTGCCTTGGTAGTTGCAGCTTTTATAAGTGTGGGTTGTGTTAAGAAATACTTTTTTCATTATTTTTGGTCTAGTATAGACAATTTCTTTTTTTTTTACTCCTTCCACCCACTAAAGCAAGTCATGTGAGATTGGTGGAGTTCGTTGGCACATGGGATTAGAGGAAGGGATGAAGGACAGCTCATCACCTGCTTGGCAGATTAAAGTAGTAGCAGGATCCCCAATAGTTAACTTGAGGATATTTGAGGCCCCCTTATATGTGAAAGTCTCTCGTTTGCTATGGTGTATAGAGTATCCTAGGCTACAGTTTTTTGGGGGTACAATGTTATTTTCTATTTAGTCATGTATTTATAGATAATTCATTACTCTTTGATGCTCTTCTGCAGTTTGTTTAGTCTTTGGATTGTTTAGGTTAGTGCTAGCTAAGAACATAGAACCTTAGGCAACCTCAAGAAAATGGGCATACCAGCAACCAAGGAGGGAGCAAGCCTGACTCAAAAGGGCTAGGGAATGCCTAAAAAAGGCAGCCAGCCTCAACTGGAAGCTGTTCCTGTCATCCACACTTAAGACAGCTTATATATTCATTCAAAAGCCTGAGTGGGGCTGGCATGAAATTTGTGATGTGCTTGTGTGGGGTAATTCCCAAACTGTGTCCATAGAAGAAGGACATTAGGAAATAAACCCAGAATGGTAGGATATGCACCAAAATATGAGAGTCTCCTGTCAAAACCAGGACTGTTTGTTGGCTTTTTTAGGTTTTATTGTTTTGCTGAATTTTGAAGTTCTAGAGTACTGAATTGTATTGCTGTTAGTGTTTTGTATTGCACAGTGAAACATCTTAGAGGGTGATATATAATATAGCAATATTCCTCATTTCTATTTGCATGATGAAAATATATTTCAGTTAGTATTTTTTTTATACATATAAGTATCATAATTATCTGCTACCAAAGAAGAAAAAACAACTGCCATAAATCTGTTTTTGTTTCACGGTTAACTAGTGGCATGTCTGGTCAAGATCTGGTCTTTGCCCTACAGCAATTCGCAATTACGCTAATAAAGCTGAAAAAAGAGGTAAATCAAATCATGTTTGTATGTAATTAAGGCAACATTCACCAGTTTCCCGAGGTAGCTTAATGTATTAGACATGAAATATCCTCTACCAGATGTACAATGTTGACATTAATTTTAGTTCTTCTTTGACCACTAAATCTGCTTGGGTTTTCTAATAATATAGTATCTATAGATAAGGAACATGCATGAGCATTTTGTAATGGTATTTTTGTAAAGAGTGGCCTGGTTAACCCCATTGTAGTCACACTGTTTTAGAATAGATTGACCTCTTACCTGGAGTCTGTCGGGTGTCACACCCCCCTCCACTACTTCAGAGAGACCTGGAAACTTCCTGCCTGAGCTAAACCTGGTAGTGCAGGGTTTATCCCATTGACTGGTAGAAACTCCTGCTTAGGAGCTGCTGGGTCTGCATTTGAAGTAATGAAGATGGGAAGCTGTATCTGTGAAACTCCAGTTAAAAAAATTTAAGCCGGTGTGCACCAGTGAACTTATGGAAGCATAACCACTACACGGAGCTGTAGTGTTTCTGGTCTTTGGAGTGTTCCTTCAAAGTAAAATATGTATTACCAAGTGTCGATGGTGCATCACAATTTGCATATGTTATGGTGTTCCAGTGTTCTGGTCTGTTGTGCTATTTGGTGCCCCATAATTTTTAATATTAAAAGAAAAACAATATGGATGCTGGTGAGCTTGGCCTGGACATTACGTAATGCTGTTTCAACACAGGTCAAAGGAACTTTGTATTTTGTAACCTTAAGAAGTAAACAGGAGCAATACTTATCTACAGTTTAATTTGTGAGCTATATGTGTACAAGGGTAATGAGAACAATGGTTTATTACTCAATGGCACTTTACAATCCGAGATACTTAAACTCACAATGCTTCAAAGGGGTATACAAACTATGTAATTGTTTGTGCATGAACATCGCAGGCAATCCAGAGTGTTTGTCAGCCATGCGAACCCAAAGTCTGAGGTTGCTTCCATATTTTCAGGATATTAGAACTTAAATGAATCTATTGGAATCATGCATGATATACAAATGTAAACTAAATGTGTGATTTCTACAGTAATGTCTAAAACTGCATCCTTGACTGATTTAGGGGTAAAAGGTAATATAGATATACTAATATAATTAGATTCTATTTTTCTTTGTAAAGATGAATGCATCACTCAGTTATTCATACAGGTTAGATGGATACAGGGTATAGACATATTGCATTAAGATTAATATAACCAACCCTGTTTCAATCAAAGAATATACATAACCAAAGACAGATATTTAACGTTATTTGAAATATCCCCAGTATAAGTAAATTAAAGGTCAATTAATTTATTTAACTAGGTCATCAATGATCTAATTCAGGCCGTCATACCTAGGGAAATAGTGCTATCTATTGATGAAAGTCCCTAAGGGCCACATTAATAATTAAATATTAAGATACGCCCATAACCAATCAAAAGCCAGATTTAAGTCCCAGGTACCGTCCATTTACAAACAAGGGGCAGGAACTGATAAGGGGGAAATAATGGTTAAATAGGGAGAAAAATAAGAGAGAGGATTCAATATCTTCAGATCATCTTAAAAAAGATCAAAGGAGATTGACTAAGGGCAACAGACTGAGTTACAGGCTAGAGCACCCATAGAGGAGAATCCCAAATTGAATTCCTTCATCCTAGACTTTTGGTAATGTATAAAGCTTTCTCTTTACTTTATATTAAATAAACTGGACTATTGAATGTTCTATGTGTCTTTATTGTGAACTGATCCCTATTGATAGAACAGTTATATCTCATTCTACCTGCAGCCTGAGTCAGATATAACTTCTTAAGTTGGAACATTCTTGATTCCTTCTTTAGACACAGATCCGTTCAATATATATATATATATACTAAGGCTATCAGAAACCTTATATCAACGTGCTGTGATTAAACTGATGGCATATACTTGGCAGGGTTGGTTGATTAACTAATTAATGAAATGACAATTGCATCATTAGTGCAAGGGGTGTCATATGGTTAATTCTGTAAACTGGTTCTGCTGTGAAATTTGTAATAGCTTTTATTGTCCTTTGCTGATAAGATTATGGATGAGACAAAGTGTAATGTTGACTCTTAGGCTTGTCAAGTAAACTAATTGACTCATATATAATATAGCAAATTGATTATAGTTGTTTTGTTGCTTTGAATTTTCTAGTGTGTATTATTAAACACTCCTTCCCTTATACTTGGAGATTTCAATATCCCAATCAATAACCCCAATTGCACTGATGCCTCTCGTCTGCTCTCTGTAACCTCCTCCTTTGGCCTTATGCAATGGTCCAATTTAGCAATCCATACCGTAGGAAACACTCTTGATCTTGCCTTCACCAACCTCCGTACTGCCTCTAATCTCTCCAATATTCCTTTTCCTTTATCTGACCACCATCTGCTGACTTTTGACATTGGCATACCTAAGACCCAATTGACACCACCGTCTGAACATCACTCTCACAGAAACCTCCAATGTCTTGACCTAGAGCATTTCTCCACTAATCTCCAAACTCTCCTTTTACCTATCTCAAACCTCACCTGTCCTAGTTCTGCAACCTCCTTCTACAATTCCACCCTCTCCTCTCAACTAGACATCATGGCACCTTGTACATTTAAACGCCGCAGGCCCCCCCAACAGCAACCCTGGCACACCAAGCTCACTCGATACCTCCAAAAATGCTCCAGAACTGCTGAACGCTGTTGGAGAAAGTCTCACTGTACATCTGACTTTCTCCACTATAAATTTATGCTGAGCTCATACAGCTTGGCTCTTTCCTCTGCAAAAGTTAATTACTTAAATACCCTCATAACCACACTCTCCCACGAACCCAAACAACTATTTCACACATTTAACTCTCTTCTTCGCCTAGCTGTTCCTCCTCCACCTACTAACTTGACTGCCTCAGACTTTTCAATTCACTTCACTGACAAGATCTCTACAATCAGAGAAGAGATCTCTCATCTTTCTTCTTCCCCTCACAATACTTCCCCTAACCTCACTCCCTCTGCTGTTCTATGTTCATTTGCACCTGCTACATTGGAAGAGGTTTCTGCTCTGCTCCAGTCCTCCTGCCCCAACCACCTGCTCCCTAGATCCAATTCCCTCGCATCTCATTCGTACTCGGTCTTCTTCTCTTTCTCAACCTCTCACTAAAATTCTCAATTTTTCTCTCTCCTCTGGTATATTTCCATTGCCCTTCAAACATGCAACTGTAACCCCAATTCTAAAGAAGCCCAATCTTGACCCTAACTCCCCATCCAACAATCATCCTATCTCGCTACTGCCTTTTGCATCCAAGATCCTTGAAAAAATTGTGTATGTGAGATTGACAGACTTCCTCGAGTCCAACTCTCTGCTAGACCCGCTTCAGTCTGGTTTCCGCGCTAAGCACTCTGTGGAAACGGCACTGACCAAAGTATCCAATGATCTACTCGCTGCAAAATCTTGTGGTCACTACTCTATCCTAATTCTCCTTGACCTGTCTGCGGCTTTTGACACTGTTGATCATCAACAGCTTCTTCTCATCCTCCACAATATTGGTCTACAAGATATTGCTCTCTCCTGGTGCTCCTCCGACCTCTCCCAGCGCTATTTCAGTGTTTCTTCCTCTGGCTCTGCTTCTTCTCCCCAACTACTCTCTGTTGGTGTCCCCCAAGGTTC